GTCCCCCCACTGCTTGATGCCCCAGGAGGGCTTAACTCATCCACTTTGGAGAGTCTAAGTGGAGCAATGGGACGGTCATCTTTTGCTTCCATCCTCCTGTAAATCGAAGGGGAAATCATATTGCTTTATAAAAGAAAGACATTGAATAAAAAAGAGACTTTACCCCAGGTATTTGAAGTGACAACTTTCTGAACATTTGAAGAGGGAGGGACCTTTGCATGTTTCTCATTTTCAGAGAGAAAAACAGATGTAAATGGTTTTGTTAGGAAGGGAACGGAGGAGCATCTCTCTCTCTCTCCAGGTTGAAATGCACCAGCAGAAGCAAATTACACACTCAGTTAATATGAGCCAGGCTACTGGGCAAGCACCTTTCATACAGTAGCCCTTTGAATGTTTAAAACAATGCTGAAGGTAGGTGTTATTCTCGTTATATAGATGAGGACTTATTCCTCAAGTTCACACAATTTGTAAAAAGAAGAGCTGCGGTTTTAACTCAGGTGGTTTGATTCTAAATTTCACACTCTTACCCACTACACTATGGATAACAGTACAGATTCAACGAAAATTTAATTTTCTGACTGGGTAAACCATTAAGATATCCATGGCCAGAATGCAATTGAGAACAATACTTGCAGGCATTGTGATACCACATTCAAAAACTTAGCACGAAGATAGAGATGATTAGACCTCAGTAGTAAAGTCCTCGCAAGACATTTTAAAAGGGCCAGATAATGTTTTAAAAGAAGCCAGGAAAATAAAAGGGTCTATACTTCCAGCTAAAATCTAATGAGAAATATTAGGACAACATTTATCTCACAGTTTTGATCTGAAAGTGATTAATTTGCTTCCTTTCTGTTCCCAAAATGTTACTGATTCTTTTTCTTGCTACCTCCTTTTTACACAGAACCTCCAGCCCACTGCAGTGTAATCCTTTACAACTATTTCTAGATGTTCCCAAAGGTTTCATATGTGCTCAAAAGAATTCTCGCCCTGTTAGGCACCCTTGTTGACCTGCTCTGTGTCCTGAGCATTCTGTTCTTCCCTCTGGGCCTCTTTGGACTGTCTTGTGTTCACTGAGCAACTATTGGATGCAGCTGTGTTCATCTGTGCCCATTTCACCTCAAAATTGTGGTCTGTGCCCTTGCTCTGACAGTGATGCTCCATACTCCAGGCCAACGAGGGACCTTGTGGGACCAGAACAAGGCCTCATTCTGTGTGGAAGTGGGGAGAATGCCCAGCCTTCCCACTCTGTCACCCTTTGTCAGCCCAGGAGCTAGGCCATGTTGCATGTGCTCCTCCTGAAAACAGTGCTGTGACTTCTGTCAGCAACTCTTTTCCTAGCGTTCAGGTACGGGCTTTCGAGGTAGGATTGGAGACAGACACCCTTCTGCCTTCCTTTCTCCATCTCTCTTCCTGAGCTTCACCATATAGCGGAGATGGGGGATTTGTCTGTTTATTGAAAATGTCAGTTAAAGTAGGATCTCATGAAGAATGATACATGTATATATAAATCTTTTAATTTAAAACATAGGGATGTACATTCTTTTGCCACTGTTTCTTTAAGTAGAAGACACAAAATGTAGTTCCATGAAGTCTTTTTTATATAACCACAACCTTAATGCACGTCTATTTGTTCTGTTTCATCTTACAAAACCAGATATGTGAAATGATAGATATTTAAAGATATTTTTCCTAATCTCCTAGAGTCATCTTGCCCACACCTAATTGTTTTTTGGTGGCTCATCCTTATGGAGTCTTTCCAAAGCAGTCAACCTAGTTTTCATAGCAATAATAACTCCTTGTTTCACGCTCATTTCATCAGCTTGTGTACTTTTAAATTAAATCACAGATTTACAGTAAGAGATACAATTGCCACGAAAAGGTTTGGGAATAAACACGAGTGCTTCTTTTTGATGTACAACTCAAGTGCTGGAGCAGCCATGTACCCATAAGCTGCGAGTGTCCCTGTGGCCTAAGTGACCTATGGCAGGTGGGTACGCTTATTGCGGAGCCCTGAGGAATCGTGAGTCAGCCAGCTGCGGGCTGAATACCAGCATCTACTGCATGAACAGCATCCCTCTCATAACTCAGCCTACGAGAGGCCATGTGCAGATCTATTCACGTGAAATGACTGATTTAGGGCTTGGCCTGGTTGTTCAGACAAGCTTAGACAGGCCACCATCCCAAAAGTAGGCCAGACTATAAACATTCACAGTCTTCAAAACATTCCAAAAAGACTAAACCTGTTTTTTCCTCCTGCAGGTGGGCAGGACCATCCTGCCTGTTGCCATGTATAAGTAGGTTGCTTTGTGTACCTGAATCATAGGATCATAGGGAAACACGACTCTGTGTACTTAGAGGTGAAAACTGCCTTTCTCCTGGAGGCTGGTCCAAGCCAGAACCTAATTTAACTTTTGCTTTGGTGCCACCAACTGGTTAGTTTTAAGATGCCACTTTTGGGCCAGCCCGTGGCTCACTTGGGAGAGTGCGGTGCTGATAACACCAAGGCCCCGGGTTCGGATCCCACGTAGGGATGGCCGGTTCGCTCACTGGCTGAGCGTGGTGCTGACAACACCAAGTCAAGGGTTAAGATCCTCTTACCGGTCATCTTTAAAAAAAAAAAAAATAAGATGCCACTTTTGACAAGAAGATGGCTTGGCAAATACATACATAATGATAAAAAAAAGTCTGGGATGAATAGGCAGAGCACAGAGGATTTTAAGGGCAGTGACACTCCATATGATACTACAGTGGTGGAGACATGTCATTATCCATTTGTCCATGCCAATCGAATGTACAACACCAGGAGTGAACCGTAATGGAAACTATGGACTTTGGGTGATGATGATGTGTCAGTGTAGGCTCATAAATTGTAACAAGTGTACCACGCTGGTAACAGGATGTTGATAATGGGGAGGCTGTGCCAGCCAAGGGGGCAGGGGATATATGGGAACTCTCTGGACGTTCTATTCAATTTTGCTGTGAACCTAATACTGCTCTAAGAAATAAAACTTCTTAATAAAAAAAACCCCTTCCATTCTGTGTACATCTTCCTTCTAGCTACTGGTATTTCAGGTAAGAACAAGATAAGGTAGAGTCATCATCTAGGGAGGCCAGTGACTTCTCAAGCAGGGATGACAGTATCTTTATGAAGCCCCTGCGTTCCAGAGCCTGGGTCCTTAGCTTTGTAAGTCTCAGACACCTTTCATTTTTCTATGCATTCATTCAGAATTCAATTTTCCAGGGCGATACCTTGCTCACCAAACTTAAAATAGATACTTGTTCATAAGTCAGAATACCAATATATTGTTTTACAATTGGAAATGTGTATGTAGTGATAAACTAAGATGTGCATTAGCTGAGTACCTTGAAGGAAATTCACATCGGAAAACAGACTATACTAGCCACTATTTAAAAGTTTTTGCTTAGGGGGAACTGGTCTACTCATTGCATGATAATTTTTTATAATTTTATTCTCAGAGGAAAACTTATATTTTATGTTTTGGTGATTATTTCCTTGAATACAGGTTAAAATTAATATGTAAAGTCCCTAATTACTTTGGTGTAGATTCCCAGTAGCAAAACAGTACTTGGCTGAAGATGGGAATTATTCTAGGTTCTGAGTAAGAATGTGCTCATACAATTACTTAATGTCTGTGTCTTGAGGGCTTTGCACAGATCTCACTACCTACTCGCATTTGCTAGCCTGTCCTGTGACTCCTCATCAGAGCTCAGTTGACTCTAGTTCTTTGGTGCAGCAACTCCCTCCCCACCTGCCTGTTGCCCCAAACTGCTGCCACATAGAATCCTCAGTCAAGGGGACTCAGGATATCTGCAGAGGTTATGAATTGATGGCCTGTGGTTGGAATCTGACTCACAGGTCTCTTTTATTTTTGCCAATATGTTGTTTTTAGAAGTTTGACTTAATTGCCTAAACTTAAAAATCAGGAGATTTAAAAAAAGTTGAAAAAAAAAATCAAGAGATTCATACAAAATTCTGAATATCCTGTTTCTTTGAAAAAATGTAGATCTGGCTATGTAGGCCCTACATCCCCACAAGGCAATAAGTTATTGGAATGGTCTGAATAGGGCACACCCCTTCCAATCATCCTCAGTCCCCACCTTTCCCTTTCACTTAGTTATGTTACTGCTTGGTGTTGGGTGGTGCCTCTTGGCACGTTGCAAAAACAAAACAACACAATAGAAAAAACAAGCACAAGGAAAGAGCGGTTTTCTTCATGATCTCTTGTTCTCTCTTCTCGTCTCTGCTGACTGTGGGGAATTCCTTCCTTGGAAACTGCTCCCATCCTCTTTTTCTTTAGGATCCTGCATCACTGAGTATGTCACCTCTGAATCACCCCTTGTGCTTCCACGAGGTGTGGCTGGAGTGTTGTTGAGGAAAGCATAAAGACTTTGGAATCTGGTCTATATCCCCAACACCTGTTTTTGAATCCCAGCTCCACTTCTTACTCACTTTAATTCCCTTATCTGTAAAATGAGGGTGATAACTTGCCTCATAGGTTGGTATCAGTGAGTGTTAAATGGGATCTTGTACATAAAGCATCAAGCAGAGGGTGGGTACTCAGGTAATAGTGCCTTTATTCCTCTCTTCTATCAAGACATGATTCTTTCTGTTCTTCATGACCTTGTTGAAGCCCAGCTGAACCTTTACTGCTGTTTTCCTGCCACTTACACCTCTTTACTCGTATAGTAAAGCCAATTGTTTTATTTTTTCTTCTATGTAACTTCCAGTCTTTCTCATCTGTACATTTCATATATTTCCTCTTCTTTTTGTAGTCAGAACTCTGTCATAGAGATTCCCATATGAGAATAATGAATGTCAGTGAATTTGTTTTGGGAAATTCCATGAGAAGGCATACCTTTTATCTTTACGATACTTGTATACAGTTTTATGAAAGAAACTACATTAGCTTTCACAGTTGTTTGTTCAGATACTTTCTGAATATATGTACCTTTCCCCATTCATTGTATATTTGTAGAAATAGAGCCAAGGTCAAAAGCTGGAAGGTTGTCAGCAGGAAAAGTTGGTACTGGAAGAGGGACACTTCGCCTGAGGTCAGAAGGTCCTGCCACCATGGAAGAAGAGGTATGTTATGTTCATTTAGTTCCCATTATGCTTGGAAATGTATAGATATTCATATTTGTTAGAGCTGGGCTTATTTAACTTTAATCACAAAGTGAAATAAAATGCCATTTGAGTGAGAAAAACATTTCTCCCACTATACTCTCACAACATGCTTCAGACACCAGATGTGTGGGGGTTTCTCCCCCCACACCAGGCAAGTCTCTGGCAGCGAACACCAGCTGGGTGCCCTCTAATTCAATTTTGATACTATTTACTTAGAGATAGTGTCTGATCCCATAGGCTGAGGGCTCAGTCCCCAAGACCATCCCCTGCTTCAGATGCCAGTTGCAAGCCCAGGCCTCTGGAACTTTTGACTGACCAGGTATAAACCAGGGTTCCCACGACTCCCTCCTCCCCCTTTAAGCTTGATTAATTTGTTAGAATGGCTCACAGAACTCAGGGAAACACTTACTTCTATTTACTGGTTTATTATAAAGGATATTTTAAAGGATCCAAAGAAATAGCCAAGGGAAGAGATACCTAGGGAGAGGTCTAGAAGGGTCCCACCCAGGAGCTCCTATTCCCGTGGAGTTGGGGTGCGCCACAACTCCTAGCACATAGAGGAACGCTGTGCTCTTGGGTTTTTATGGAAGATTCATTATGCAGGCATAATTGAAGCACGGACAGCTGTGTAGAAATGTGATTGGACAAAAAGGGTCTAATCTAACGCTAACAGCCCGGGTGGGGAAACCCAGCAAGGCCTGTTTGTTCAGGTTCTTCTTGGCCTCTCTGTGCAGCGTTCCCTCCTCCTGCGCATGGGGCAGGACCTCTTTTGGAATGGGAATCTCATAACCTACAGTTAGACAAAGTGGGTCAGAGAATTTCTTCATGGCCAGCTCCATGACAGAAAGAGGGGGAATAAATAGAGACATGCCTTAGGGAGCCAGGAACTGTGAATGAAAACACATATAACATAATATCACACCATTGATTCTCATCAAAGCATGGACTTTTAATTCATTGCCCACTTAATATGGAAGTTACTGAAGTCATTTAAGAACAAAATGTAGAAATTAAGTGCATGAAAAGAGATCGTGATCTATAGAAATTCTCAGCTACCTGCAGACAATCTTTCTAGACTCTTTAGACATCTGGACTGTCTCAAAAACTTAAATCAGTCAAAGCTCTTTGAGAGCTGAGAAAAAGTCTCAGAGTCACCTGTAGGAATAAACATTCCTAAGAAGATTTTGATAATGAAAGGTTACATTGTGAACTTCTGTCCTCAGATAAAACATTTCAGAGTCATCTTTGACTCTTCTCTTTCATGTACCACCTTCCTCCCATCAGCAAATCCTAGTGGGTCTATGACTACAATAGACTAGAATCCAGCAACTTCGTACCACCTCTATTCCCACCACTCTGGCCTGAGGCACCTCATGTTATCCTGGAGACTGTAGCCACCTTCTGTTCAGTCTTCCTGCATTTACCCTTGCCCTCTTTCCTTCTGTGCTCAGCATAGCAGCCAGAATTACTTTTTAAAAAAAAAAAATAGAAGTGAGATTATGTTACTTTTCTGTTCCTAACCTTCCAGTGGTTTCCCCTGTCACTCAGAATAAAAGCTTAAGTCCTCAGAGTAAGCAACATGATCTAACTCCACGTTTCTTTCTCACTTCCTGCCACTCTCCCTGGCTTCCTCTCTTACAGCCACTATGGGTCTTGTTTTTGTCCCCAAATGCTCCGGACGTGTCCCCACCTCCAGGCCTTTGTGCTGCTGCTACCTCTACCTGAATGCATTGCCCGTTGATCTGCATGGCCTGCTGCCTTGCCCTCTTCAGGTTCTACCCACATGCGCCTTATCTAAAAGGCATTTTCTGAGGATCCTGTGCAGATAGCAGTTCCCTCTGCCCCTCCCACTGCTCGGTCTTCTATGCCCTTAATTTTCTTCAAAGCACTAACACCATAGGACACATTTTATCATTGTTTAATTTTGCCTATTGTCTAGCTCCTTTGCTCACATCTTATTTACTCCTGTAGAATGGTACCCGATGTATTAAAGGAATTCAAATCTTTGCTGAATTAGTAAAGATTCATTTTAGTTTGAGAAAAGCAAGGGTTTCATTGATTGACTGACTGTGTCTTTATAAAGGTCAGTATTTGAAAAAAATCAGAAGGAGAAGAAACCATGGGGGCAAAAAGGGTGGAAAAGAGAACAGCAGGGGCTGGGAGACAGTGGTAGGGATTCAGGGTGGCATGCAGCAGGTCCACTCACCGCAGTGAAGACAGCGGCAATAATGTCATCCTGTGGGTGGAGTGGGGGTTCTGAGGTCTGGGAGTTCCTATGGGCAGGGGCACAGGCGCCGGGCCCTTCTAGTCTCCGTGTGTGTGACTACTGTCCCAGGGCTCCCCATGTGTTTGAAGAACAAAAGAGCGAAACAGGTGAACAGTTAGGGGGCCGTTTCACAGAGTGGGATCCCAGAGCTTGTTGGGTGACAATGTCCAGGGTCAGTCTTGTGGGTGGTTTGTTAGAGCAGACACTGAAGGAACCATGAGGCCGAGGTTGTCCTTAGGAATGTTTGAGTCACTCAGGATATTATTGGTTTGGGGAATCCAGAGGAATATTCTTAGTCAGGTGCCTTGGTTCTGGGGGAATGAAAGGGTTGATCTGGAGGCACAGACGAGCTAAGAGACCTGGTAGAGCTGAAAACACTTTGAAGATAAGATATGATGAGGTATTTGAAAAAAGCCCAAGGGAGTAGCTTCTGGTCATTTCAGCCTTCACTGCCTGGCATATTGCTGAAGGCCAGTAACTGTTTATTGAAAGAATGATGAACAGACCTCAGCAGAAGAAAGGACTTCGTGTGAGGAGGAAGAGCAGTGGGACGGAGCTGGCAGCGGGGAGCAAGGAGGATGCCAGCTCTGCTGGAGGAGAACGGGCAGGCCTTTAATGGCTTGTGAAGGAAGCAGGGTTGGCAGGGAAAACTCCCTGTCTCTTCAAGTGGAGAGCCGTCTTCCAATAGTTAACACAATTAATAAATATATATATATATTTTTTAAAAGATGACCAGTAAGGGAATCTCAACCCTTGACTTGGTGTTGTCAGCACCACGCTCAGCCAGTGAGCGAACCGGCCATCCCTATATAGGATCTGAACCCATGGCCTTGGTGTTATCAGCACCGCACTCTCCCGAGTGAGCCACGGGCCGGCCCTAATAAATACTTGTTAAGTACCAGTTATGTATAACGTGTGGGGGTGAAGAAAAACAGCTTAAGATCTATCTGGGGAGGCAGGAAAGATTCATTCAGAGATAAACACCAAAAAATCCATTCCTATTTGTGTAGCCTGTTTTATTAAATGGGGCAATTAAAAATAGCTCGTAATGAAAGGAAAAAGCTAGTTTGGTGCTAGTATTAAATTTGATACAAATGACCGACAGTCTAATTTGAAACACTTGAGGATTTAAGGGATTTATAGGATTTGAAGCAAATCATCTCTTTGTAACCTAGCACAGATCTGGAAACTGTAAGATGTTCCACTTGCATACTTCATTCTTTATTCAATATGTGTTTGTTGAGACAGGCACAGTCTAGGTGCTGGTGATACAAAGATGAATCAAGACCTTGTTTCTCCTCCAAAGGGAGAGGGGTATGAAGAGAAACTCTTATACACCAGTGGGATTGGATTAATGGAAGTGTATATAGGATACACAGTGTCACGAAGAGGGGGCTGATCAACTGCTGTCAGGGATCGCAGAAAGAAAGGAGGCCAGTGAGAGCTTCCCTCCACAAGAATGATTGAGTTGGTTAAGGATGGGGAAGAGAGTGTTCTAGGCATGAAACAATGGTGGGCTTGGGGATCTTGTGCTGGAAGTACCTGCTGGATGGTGATGAGCTAGAGGTATAGGCCCCATGGGGTCAGGATGTAAAGAGCCTTGTGGATAATGGGGGAGCCATTAAGAGCTGTGAGGGGAGGGCCGGCCCGTGGCTCACTTGAGAGAGTGCGGTGCTGATAACACCAAGGCCACGGGTTCAGATCCCATATAGGGATGGCTGGTTAGCTCACTTGGGAGAGCGTGGTGCTGACAACACCAAGTCAAGGGTTAAGATCCTCTTACTGGTCGCTGATAACACCAAGGCCACGGGTTCAGATCCCATATAGGGATGGCTGGTTAGCTCACTTGGGAGAGCGTGGTGCTGACAACACCAAGTCAAGGGTTAAGATCCTCTTACTGGTCGCTGATAACACCAAGGCCACGGGTTCAGATCCCATATAGGGATGGCTGGTTAGCTCACTTGGGAGAGCGTGGTGCTGACAACACCAAGTCAAGGGTTAAGATCCTCTTACTGGTCATCTTTGAAAAACAAAAAACCAAAAAACCAAAAAACTGTAAGGGAAGCAATACAATCAGTTTTATGTTTTAGAAAAATCCTTTGTTTCTAGGGAATGGGTTGTTGAGGAGGACAGATTTGAGAGGATTAAGATTGCAGGCAGAGACAAATTAGGAAACTTCTGCAAATAAGAAAAGACGAAGACCGAACCCAGGCAAAGAGCTATGGATGGAGAAGAGGCGATAGATCAAGTGCTATTTAAGAGGTAGAATAGTAAAACATTGGTGGCCATTGTGTGTGAGGAGTGCTGACACTTGTTACCGTAACTTACAATATGGCTGGACTGGTAAAAAGTTAATACCTAAGTTACTTTGCATAGCCTGTTGCTTTACACAGACAATCCAAAAGACATTGTAATGAAGGCAAAAACAATAAATTGTATCTGTTATTGGTTTAAAAGTTTCATTCTTGTAAACAAAAATATGAGAGAGTTGTACTAACATCCTCAAGGAAATAAAAATAGATGATTTGCTATAAAATGCATGATTTTAATAAATTTTTTTTGTTTGGTGGCTGGCTGGTGCAGGGAACTGAACCCATGACCTTGGAGTTATAACCGACTGAGCTAACCGGCCAACCGGTTAGCTGATTGTAATACATTTTGAGAATGAAAAGCATCATAAATTTATAACAGTATGAAAAGTAATGTGAAATTCTTACAGTCTGGTTGTGGATTCTACATTTGTACTTATAGTTGAGTATATAACATCTTTGGGAAATTCCTTTTTTAACAATGAAGCCATTTAAAACCAAGTATTACAATAAACTGAACATAGAACCAGACTTAACCAAATATTAAACCAAGATTTTAAGGAATATTAAAACACATCCAAGCATTTTTTTCTACTGAAAATTTTAATAACAGATTTAGGAAGAACAAATGTCTTGGTACCATTAATACACAAACAAAAACTATTTTAAAAATATGATTTCATTGTTACCTTTGTAAAATTTCCTTTTTTGGTGTATTTTTATAATATATACAATATGTTAATATGGTAATATATGTGTATAATCTATAAAAAATACATACAATAAAATTAAATAAAAATAAATAATAAGGGCATATATTCAGAAATGTTATGCTGTTGGGGTGAACTATCAAAAGTTTGGTGACTCTGGCCTGCACAATGAAGACCAAAATTCTTTTAATGGCACATAGAACCCCTTAAGACCTAGTCATGTTTGTCACTGTGTGCTCCAGTCACATGGGACTTCTTGCAGTCCCTGTAACATGCCACAATCTTCTGTCAGACTCTGGGACCTCACATAGACTTTGTCTATTGTCTTCTGCTTGAAGAAGCTTCTGCTTGCCAGACACCTGTTCATCTTTGAAAATACAGTTAAGTCACCTTCTTTCTGAAGTCTTCCATGACTCTTAAGATATAAATTTGCTTCCTTTTCCGTGGCTCCTCAGTTTCTTTTATATCCTTTAAAAATTATTACATAGTTATTTATTTATTTATTTAAAAAAAGATGACCAGTAAGGGGATCTTAACCCTTGACTTGGTGTTGTCAGCACCACGCTCAGCCAGTGAGCGAACCGGCCATCCCTACATGGGATCCGAACCCGGGGCCTTGGTGTTATCAGCACCGCACTCTCCCGAGTGAGCCACGGGCCGGCCCCTACATAGTTATTTATTTTCACATTTGTCTTCTCATCTAGATTGTTAGCTAGTTGGGGACTGAGTTTCTGGCTTTTCTTTTTTGAATCTAACAATTAATGCTGACACTAAAAATAAGTATTGTATTAGTTTGTATCTAGTTACAGAGCACATTCTAGATATATTCCCCCTAAAATTAGCTGGAAAAAATTACCTGAAGTACAAACTATGAACTGGCTTTATATCAGATTTTCCCTTATGTATGCCTTGACAATCAATAGATTTCATAATAAAAACATATTTTTTCTCTTCTTTGATAAAGCCCTCTGAAGCCAAAGCAAAGGCAATCGAAAAGGTTGATGATCTTCTTGAACTGTACATGGGAATTCGAGATATTGATTTAGGTAAGATTATACTATTTTCAAAGGTTTTATATCTCTTAATTTGATGGAATTTAATGTTTATTTGTGTCTTGTTTGAATTTAGAGCCAATGACACTTCTCAATAAAAAGTATTTGTGGAATGGTGAAAAGAATAATGAACATAAAGATATTAAAGAATAATGAAAAGGCTTAGCCCTTATCACCTACTAGCTGTGAGGTCTTAGTGCTAAGTTAATTTTTAAAAATTTTAGGTAGTTTTTAATCTATAAACAGTGGATAATATATCCTTGTCTTATGGATTTAAAAAAATATATATGAAAAGAATTTTATAAGTAATACATATGAAAGGTATTATTATTTGATACATCAGATTTACATGTATTTATTATGATATTATTAGTTGCGCACCATTAATAGTTACTGAAGGGCCGGCCCGTGGCTCACTCGGGAGAGTGTGGTGATGGTAACACCAAGGCCACGGGTTCGGATCCCATATAGGGATGGCCGGTCGCTCACTGGGTGAGCGTGGTGCTGACAACACCAAGTCAAGGGTTAAGATCCCCTTACCGGTCATCTTTAAAAAAAAAAAAAAAAATGTTACTGAAATGCTGTGAACAATGAATCTGAAATATGAAGAATAAGGACACACTTGGCATTTGGCTGTTAAAAGCAGTTGAGCAATTGAATTTCTGTGTATTTCTTATCATTACGATGTCAAGGTCTTGATTTATCAATTAAGACTCTGAGTTGCAAATGACAAAAAATGAAAGAAAACAAAACATAACATCCTAAATCCAATTAGCTTAAGGAATAAAAGGGAGAAATTTATTGGTTCTTATAACTGAAAAGTCTAGAGATAAGATCTTGGCTTTAGAGTGGAATCCAGAGTTCTCATGCTGCCATCAGGATGTGGTTTCTCTTCTCTCAATTTTGGTTCCTTTCAGGCCCCTGTGGAATCCCCTGGCAGCTTCAGGCCCTCCCTCTTGTAGCCACAATGACTGCCATGGCTCCACCCCTTTACATCCTCTCTATATCAAGCACAATGGGGAGGAGGAAGTGCTTCTTCCAAGTCATTCAAACAAAATGCCCATGATTGTCTTTGATTGGTCTGATCAGCCCAAGTGAGCCAATCACTGAGGCCAGGGGGATGGTTAGGTCTTGGTCAAATGCTCTATATCTGGAGCTGAGAGTGACCCTGAAATACAAGGGTCAAGAGTGTGAACGGCCTGGTTGTTCCCATGCAGAAACCAGATAAATGTTCCCTTAAGAGCACATGGATGCTGGGTGGGGAGAACAGTAAATGTACAGTACAGTGGTAGGGTTTGTACCTGCATGCATCCATGGGTGTGTGTTTGAATCAGGGGCTTAATATATTTTTTTAAAGTCAAGGACTTGACTGTTTTGTTTATCTGCTCCCAGGTAGATGATTTGAAGCTCATTCATTCTTTTTATATTTCTACTCATCTTCCATTTTCCTTACAGAATTGTCAAAAGACAAAATTGAAACAGATTTAGTTTAAGGATCTTAATTGATTTTTATATGTGATTCTGTAATCAGGCAACACCTCATTCAATAAAATAGAATGAATGTTCCAAGCAGAGGAGGTTGGCTTTATAGACAGAAAAGGGCAGAAACAGAGAACAAAAAGCAGATTAGTTATTTCAAGGTTGCTTTCCTTGTAAAGGTTAAAGCAGAGGGGAATTTCTTATCAGACCAGCTAAAACTGGCCCGTTTGGATATTTGGCTGTTATCTCTCTCCTGATTTCTTGGAAGGTCAGATAAACAACTTAGTTTCAGCTTGGTGATGTGGAACTTCAGCACGAATAGCTGCATGTTAGTTTGGTCTGTTGCTCCTAGTGCAGACGCTCAGTCCAAACCAATGATCTCCTATATGTCTTATTTAACAGAATTTATTCCTATTTTTTTTTGCCTGCCTGAACTTTTAAAATAAAATTTCTGTACTGGGTGTATATAGGTGATGTCTGTAACTGAAAAACATTGGTACTCTGTTTCTTGCTTCTTGGAGAAAAATATAAAATTAGATCATTGCTCTATGCAGACAAGAAGTTAAAGCTGAGACAATCTTGTGGAACATCAGTGTCTTACAACTTCTCATTCCAGTTCTTTTGCATTTGAGAAGATATCGGTCTTTGCATAAATGATGTGGGCCTGTGACAGTTGTGCAAATGCATATGCAAATGAGGGCATGGGGGATTTAGAAATGGTGTAGTGCTCTTAAACTCAGATTAACTAGTTAGTATTTGTTGGAAAAATAATATAATTCATCCCTGTTCAGTTGAGAAGTTTTCAAATAGTGTAACTGTGTGACCATTACAAGATTCTGTCACATACCAATTGTTATAAGATTCTGTCAACATATCAATTGCTGGGTCTTGATGAGCTGAGATTTAGGAGAACCACAACTTCCCTAGGTAGGAACTTAAAACATTCCTTAACTTTCAAACTTAATTTTGGGTACAGGTCTTATAGTTACTTAAATATAAATTGGGAATAGTTAGTTTTGTCCTTTTGTTATTAAAAATATTTAAATACGTACGGTATAGTGTTGGGCAACAGTGCAAATAGTTATAAGTTAATTCAGAAACAGTTCTATAAGAATCAATTTTCTTTTACTCTGAGAAATTCAGGGCACTAAACGTTCCTTTCAAAGTCCTTGTAAATTAATTAGCAATCCCTTTGTAAAGTTAATTAATCATATGTAGCAAATTTGTCCAATGGACAAGAAAAGTCATTATCATTATACATGATTCGCAAGCAATGTGATCAGTCACTGAGGGAGGTAAAGCATAAGGAAAGTAATTATTTGAAGAATGTCCACCATTGTTAAATTAGGAATTTCTCTCATTATTCAGATCTGATTAGCACGAAATGTAAATCAGAAATGTGAGATTGATTTAACAGACAAGTGAATATATTTACTTGTTTGTATTCCTAGTATTTCTTACCTTTCAGAAATGTTAATTCTTAATGCAAATTACATTGACATCACATTATTTTGGAGTTGTTAATGTGTTTAAAATTTTTAAAATATTAAAAAAATTTTAAAAGTAATATGGCAATAAAATGACTTAAAACAAAAATCTATCCTTAAAAAAGGGTTGGGATATTTATTACTTGAAAATGGAAAATAATTTAAATGAATTTTTGTAAGAATTAACCCTGATGATGAAAGGGCTTCATTGGTTGTAAAGTTAAGTTGTAAACTATGACTTTTCAATCAACCAGTGTTGACATGGGTTGCCTTGGGATGTTATCCGTGGGGGAAAAAAAAAGCCTTCTGGAAGATGTTTAGTCTTATAATGCCTTATGTGGGATTGACCTAACTTAATGGAAAGTTGTATCATATAAGTTTCTTCTTGAATGTTTAAGGCAACTTAACATTATTTAGAACTGCAGTATTTTCTGATGATACCAATTTAGGAGTTTGGAGATCATCCTAGCAACTTCAGACTTTTAGGATTTCTAATTTATTAAGAGATCCAGAAATACGTGAAAGGACATTTGAATGATAGTTTTTAAGTCATTTCTCCTATAAAATCTTTTATAGCTCTTTAAAAAGTATACCATGATGGTGTTTTAGTAGAGATAATTACATTTCTTCCTATGATCACTTTCTTTTTCCAGTGAATTCAAAACAATGAACACTGTAGAAAGTCATCCTTCTCAGATAAAGCCAACAAAGTTTTGGAAATAGATTTAAATTAAAAAACATACTCTACATTGGCTGTGTTTTTGATATTTGACTCATGTGTGAGTGTGAAATGGGCTGATATTTATGAAAAGTCTAGGGAAAGTAAGTGCTGAAGACCTTTCATAGAATGAGATACAGTTACAGACTTCATGATTAAATTAACAATGGTGATGACTAATCTTTATCTAAATCCTGCTAATTGCCATTTCATAAACTGCGATACAGAGAAGTCTGGTAACTTGTCCAAAGTCAGATAACAAGTTAAGAGCTAAGTTTTAATTCTGATATAATTAAAATTAAATTTTGATATAGGAGTTTGGACCATGCACTAATATTTTATACCTAGAAGTTATGTTTAGATATTTAAAAACTTTATGGAAACTATATGTTGATTTATGTAACCAAAATAGGTTTGTCATTAATAACTAAAAACTAGTTCAGGGTGGCAACGATATAAAGATATTCTCAAAATGGCCACTAGAGGTCAGCACTTAGCTGCTATATGTGGTATAAAAATTCTACTCTTAGTGGAACATTTTTTGCGAGGTTGTATTCAGGTATTAAATATTATTTCAGTATATTCCAGCTTTATTATAGTCAACAGATGAAAATCATTTTAGTAGCTATCTTAATGTGACATAACTCTAAAAAATACTTCATTTTGCTAAAGTTTCTTTTGCTTTTCTCTTAAACCAGAGATACAATCTTTTATCAAAAAGGATAAAATTATATCATTTATTTCTCCTGTAAGGATGTTTAAAGGCTATGTTCATACTTTATGTATTAGTAAAAATTAATAACAAGTTCAAATGCATGCTCCATTCTTAATTTCTTTTTGAATTTGTATAGCAAATTACTGGTTTTTAAAAGATTTGTGGAGTACTGTATTACATATAGTATTTCCAACACAATTGTGAAGCTGCCTAATTGGTACTTTTTGTTGCTTCTACAAGACCAGTAGTTCTTCAAAGGCAGATACCATATTTTACTCAGTTTTTAATCCCAGCTCCTACCACAGTACCTCTCCCAGAGTAAGTATTTGGTAAATGTCTGTTGAGAGGCATGAAAACAGTGAGTTCACAGGGAGTCTGAGTCCTAATTTCATTAGTTTGAAGCTTTAGCCCTTGAGAAAATTATTAAACCTTGAGCTTCAATTTCCACCTGTGTAAAAGGGGCTTAATAAAAACAATCTTACGGGATTACTAAAGCATCACATTAAATTATATGTATAAAATTTCTGTCACACTGTAAGTAACAGGTGTAGCCATTATCATTCTTAGCAATGATCACTAATAATCATTACTAGTA